AATCCACACCCCAGGTCTAACAGGTTCCTTAAAGGGCCAGCTCCCCCCAGGAAACCCTGCAGTGGATGCAGGGAACACTGGAGTGGGCAGGGGGCTACTCACGTTGTCATTGGGGTACAGCACCCGAGAAATGTTCTCGGCCAAGTTCCTGTCCAGCACGGCTTGGATGTAACCACCAACGTTAACTGAGGGGGAAAAGAGAGAACGGGGCCTTAGTTCACAAAGGGATCCTTTGCCAGGTGCTGAGGTGCAGCCACTTCTGGGGTGGGAGCTGTTTATACAGGGATCCCTTGCCCAGTGCTGAAATGCAGCCACTTCTGGGGTGGGGCACACAGGGGCTTTTTGTACAGGGATCCTTTACCCAGCAGCTCTGGAGCCAGCTCCAGGGTGGGGCCTGGGAGGGGGTGTTTATACAGGGATCCTTCATGGTGGGGCATTGGGGTCAGCAGGGGACGGGAGGTTGCCTCCTACTGAGCCCCCATCCCCGGTTATCAGTAGCTGTCTCCCAGCCCTGCTCAGCAGAGGGGGTCTGATGCCTGGCCCTTGGCTGCTGCGATGAATCCAGCAGAGACACAGACCCTCGCCCGGCCTGAGGGGCCCCCCTTCACTCACAGTCCTTGAGGTTGAACTCGTTGGGGGCCCGGGCGGACCAGAGGCGCATGGTGTTGACAGTGTTGTTGCGGTAACCAGGTACAGGTGTATCGTAGGGAAGAGCCAGGATCACCTGCCAAAGGACAGCAGGGTTAGTGCCAGCCACGGCACCCCAGTGAGCATGAAGAGCAGAGAGCCCAACCCCAGCCTTTCCCAGAAGGTCATTCGACCTCGCATCCCATAATACCTTCCCTGCCCCCTTTTTACAAGTGGGGAAACTAAAGAACAAACGGGATCTGAATCCCCCAGCGAATCAGGGAGAGGACCCAGGCGTCCTGGCTCCCTGCGCACATACTCCCAGGCTGCTGAGCGTGCTTCTGGGCAATCGCACATGCATGGAGGCACTGTGCAAAGGTACATGTAAGCACGCACAGGTCACTGGTGCACAGGGATCTCACACTTGCATGGAAATGTCCACTTGTGCGCTTGCAAACGCACACACTCAGGCATACCTACACACTTGCACTACTATGTGCAAAGGCCTGTGAATGCACCTCTCCCCCATTAATACGGCTTGTGCACCAACGGCCCTGCATGTGAATATACACTCCCGCACACCCAAGGACGCACAATCACCACTCACTTATGCAGGGGTACATGCATGGCTGCCAGGCCCTCACATACAGATACACTCACAGCCTCGCTTGTGCAAATGCACTCACAACTCACTCAGGCTTCCCGGACTCACCTGCGTGTCGACCCATTTGGTGCCGTCGGGCCCGTGGTCCACACGTCCATAGAAGTGCACTGGGATCATGTACTCGGGCCGGGCCTTCTCCCAGGGGTTGCCATAGCGCAGCCAATCATCAGCCTCCTCCACCTGCCGAGGGAGGAGGGGTTAGTGCCATCCTGCTCCCCGCTCCCTCCCCCCACTGGGATCCCTTCACATACACACCCAGGGCATCCCACCTACCCAACACCCCATCTCCTGCTGCGATCACCTGTGCCCCACAGCCCCTGCTGCCTCCCCACCCAGGACACCCCACACTGGCCCCTGGGCAACCTCTCTGCCAGGCCTCTCCTGCCCCAAACTAGTGGCAAATCGTGGGCCTCTTCTACCCAACACTGCCCCCCCCCTAGACACACATCCAGTCCCCCAACACACATCCCATCCTTCCAATGCCCTGCCTGCTCCCCTGGGGGAAAGGAGCCCCCATCCCAGCCCCCCGCACCATGGGGATGCGACCCACCTGCCAGCCCCCAGAGATCTTCTGGTTGAAGATGCCAAACTCATAGCGGATGCCGTAGCCGTAGGCGGCCAGTCCCAGGGTGGCCATGGAGTCCAGGAAACAGGCTGAGGGGGAAAAGGGGGGCAGGGGTTGGGCATTACAGCCAGATCAAGGGGAAAGGGGGGGTACCGCAGTAACAGCCAGGCCAGGGGGGCAGGAAAATGGATAGGGATTGGGGGCAGGTAGAGGAGATGTGGAAGAGGGAAGGGGGACAGGCAGTGGGGTCACAGTGATGGGATGGGAAATGGAGGAGGGGGTAGGCGTGGAATGACTGTGATGCAGGTGGGGGAGGGGTCAGGCAGTGGGGTTACAGTGATGGGGGTGGGTTGCCTGGCACGGTGCCTGGGGCAGGTGCTCACGTGGGTGCAGATGCTGAATAGGGCCCTTGGATTCCTTTCTTCCTCGACTGCTGGGCAGAGCCATGGGTCTGTGAGGGGGCAGTGTCAGGAGTTATGTCTGGGGGGGCAGTATTGGGGGTCCAGGTGTGT